TTTTTTTTTTTTTTTTTTTTTTTTTTTTTTTTTTTTTTTTTTTTTTTTTTTTTTTTTTTTTTTTTTTTTTTTTTTTTTTTTTTTTTTTTTTTATTGCCTTTGTAGGCAGACGAGCATACGGCCCACCTGATGGTAAGTGGTCACCGTCGCTCATGGACGTCAGCAATGCCAGGGGCAGAGCCAAGCCGCTGCCTACCATTAGATTTAGAGTTTTTAGTAACACACAGCACACTAACACAGCAACAACCCTTTTTGTGCAAGTGTCACTTCCGTCGCGGGTCCTAGGTTGTGCACAGACACTTAGATATTGGTAGCTAATACCTGGACCCGATCTGCGCGTGCGTAGAGGACGTTCCACTGATACAGGAGTAGATAGAACTATAACGTCATAATACAAAAGTACCACACGCCTTATCATTTCAAGCGAAGTGTTCCTAACTACACGAGGGCGCACGCACCTGTGCGACCAGGAATTTGGTGATCCGCTCGGTGAGTCTTCCCCTCTCGTGCGAGAGGATCATCTCCAGCATGTCCCCCTTCAGCTTCTCCATCACCACGAAGATCCGCTCCGGGGTCTCGAACATCCTCTCGAGGTTCACGACGCCGGGGTGGGACAGGTTCTGAAGAATGGCCACTTCATTCTTCAGTTGCGCCTCTTGTTTGGTCGGGAAGCGGAGTTTATCTATTACCTGCGAGGAGGGTCAGCCCAGTAATTGAAACTTGCTCACTGTATAGAAGGACAGAGTACAAACAGACAACGGTCTGGAGGCCGGGGTACGTACTTTAATGGCGACAGGTCTGTCCGTCCTCCGGTGCAGGCCGCCGTATACGATCCCGAACTGGCCGGAGCCCAGCACCTCGTCGGGGTGGATGTGGTAGAGCTGCGCCATGTCCGTCACCCTCTCCTCCGCGCAGGCCGCGCCCCCCTCCCCGCCGTCGGCCCCCGCAGGCCCGCCTTCAGCCCCGCCCTCGGCCCCGCTACTCCCCGACCCGCCATCCACTGGTACCCACATACATAAACAGATGTGAGCATACTGAGATCTTATAAGGGACCGGCACTAAGTGACGAGTGCCGCCGGGTCGAGTCGTTCTCACTTATACGTGGTGTGTATTGGAATATATAAAGAACATTTGGCAACATCGATATACAAGCAGCGAGGCACTAACTCCGTGTGAACGGTGGCAGTCTCCCAGTGGATCCAATGTCTTAGAACATGAACAGTCCTACACCTTGCCTTACCCCCCCCCCCCCCACACATGTGGTGAAATGTACCCGAGGACACCGTTCCCTCGGTGAAATCGGAGCGTTTAGAGCTCCCTCAATATCAGCAGAATTCATGTCTCGATTGAAAATGTATCAAACCAGGCAAAGTGTCCTGTGTCTGTGACTGCGCGAAAGTGGCCTCGCATCTAAATAGTTTAGTTTGTTTACAACAAGTCCACTGACGGTTTCGCTCACGACTACATATTGTAATTAATTGTTAATTAATTTTTATTTATTGCTTAGATGGGTGGACGAACTCACAGCCCGCTTGGTGTTAAGTGGTTACTGGGGCCCATAGACATCTACAACGTAAATGCGCCACCCACCTTGAGACATAAGTTTTAAAGTCTCAGTATAGTTACAACAATCGTTCAAACCGAAATGCATTACTGCGTCACGGCAGAAATAGGCAGGGTGGTGGTACCTACCCGTGCGGACTCACAAGACATCCTAAGTGCTGTCCACCATCATGAAAGAGTTCCCTCGCGTCCAGTGTCGAGTGTACGTACCCGCGTGATGTGCGTGACGCGTGTGGTGCGTCACGGGCATGAGCGCGTGACGCAGAGCGGTCTCCCAGGGGCGCGCGAGGTAGGCGCCGAGGCCGGAGGAGGGCACGGCGCCGCCCGGGCCTGCCTCCGCGCCCACCAGGTAGTCCACGTTGGCCGTGCGCAGCTCGAAGCAGTGCATCACCTCTGCACACAACGGGCCCGGTTACTGGACCGCCCACGCCGCAGTGACGAGTGCGGCCTCAGCCCGGCACTGACACTCCCTCAAACCTCTTCTCAAAATAACACGTCATGATGCCTACACTGTTACACCAGCGTATATTTTTTATTATTTCACATGTTTTTTTATTGTTCGTGTAGGCAGACGAGCATATGGCCCACCTGATGGTGATTGGTTACCGTCGCCCATGGACTTCAGCAATGCCAGGGGCAGAGCCAAGCTGCTGCCTACCGCTTAATACTCTCCTGCCTACAAGGGCAATAAATAATAATAATAATAATCAACAGAAAATATCAAGGCTATTCCCCTGCACGGAAGTGCCAAGTGAGTTACCTGACTGCGGCTGTCTGGCCGTGTCGATCGCCAGGATCTCATTGAGCGGTATCTCCTTGTAGTACTTGGTGCCCTGGTCCGATGTGAACAGGGTTATCGACTTGCTGTCCAGGCGCCAGTAGTGACGTCTCAGCTGTGACCAAACAGTCGCTATTGAACATGGAGTCATTGGCCGAGGACCACTGTATCAACTTCAATCTGACCACATACCGAATGAACACAAACATAAAATACCAACACTCAATACCTTAGACACAGCATCTAATTTTCGATTTCATAATTTTACACACGCTGTAGGTTCGACGCGGTCAGTGTTCTGTTAGCGAAACGTTGCGTTCCCTCGCAATTTTAGAACGAATAAGACATAAAATACTGTTTAAACTTTAGCAAAAACATATGAACTTTCTTTGTTTTAGTATTACTGGTAATAAACTACGCGTATTCATTTAACGCGACAATACGACTTCAGTCGGTGTAACAAAACTTCTCAAATATCGATAGGGGAGACAAATATACAGGGCGTTCCAAATTTGCCTTAAATTTTGTAAAAACTAAAAGCTTTAAAAAATATGAATTATAGAAAATTATTATAAGGATTGATTGCAGCAAGTTCTAGAAACCTCGTGACGCTGGTGGGGGAAAGGTATCTCACCGTCTTATCCTTATTAGTAAAGTGAACAAGCCAGCCCTCCTTGAGCCATTGTCCCTCCCGTTTCTTGGTGTGCTTCACTGACTGCACTATCCTCATGAGCGGGATGTTCGCGCTGGGTGATGACGATGAACTGGAAATTTAAGAAAATCAGATCCGACTGTTTTGGATGACAGGAGAGCGTGTGTGTGTGTGTGTGAGACGGCAGCGGAGAAAAGGGAGGAGATACATCAAAAACTTTTATATTCTTCAAACAACTTGCCCCTGGTCTTATGTGACAATAGCAAAATCAAATGTTTGATTCATAATACACATGTGTTATTTAATATTTCATAAATTTGGGTGAATGCTGCTGCAATAGCTGAGTTTTTAATTCCATTTTTTTTAACTTTCTAACCCCAGGTAGACGTGTCAGTACATCCAAAATTAAAAAAAAAAACCTCCACAAAGTTTTGTTCTTGGAGGTACATTCTATCTCAGATTACAATATTTATATTTTAAACTCCGTCGTTGAATGATACCCATAGACACAGCCCATTGAGTTTTTCGTCGGATCTTCTCAGCTGGTCGCGTTTCCGACCCGGTGGTAGATTCTGCGAAGCACTGCTCTTGCTAGGGCCAGTGTTAGCAACACACTGGGTTTGAGCCCCGCGAGCTCACTTACTAGTTCGGTAAATCTAGAATAACCTTCGAGAGTACTAGAATAGGTAGGGAAAAAGGTTGAATGATTCTATATAAGGAATACAAATATTAGGAATAGACAGTATACATAAACAGTGCAGACAAAACAAAAACAAACGAGGACATCAGCACCCACACACGCCCCCCCTCCCCCTCCCTCCACCCACCACGGGAGCACTGAGCGGCTGTCTGCGAGTGTCCCCCACGAGGTAAGGGTAATTGTTATGAATAATTCCAATTCTTCTTCATCTCTTCCTCCTAAATGAGGTTTTTGATATGAAGTTACATTTCCAAACATTAACATAAATCAGTAGTCGATAATAAATTGTCATTGTCGGACATCCGAGAACGCTAATGTATTAGACAGCCGCTCAGCGCGAGCGCCGGTATTGTATGAACCTGCTGGGTCGGCTCGCCGAACGCTCCGGCAGTGTGTCACGTTGCGGTTCATCCGAATCCTCATCCCTTTGTCTTCGTAGTTGTACCTAATAAAATAAAAATACATATGAAGTTCACAATCTGAAAGAAATGTGTTTTGTCTAAAATAGAATATGTAGCCGTCATATATCCTTCGCTCTCTAGTAAAAGTAAAAAGAAAAATCTATACAAATATCCAGTTGCCGGTAAATTTTATAACGTTGTATGGCCCGCTTTGAGACATAAGTAGGAAATGTACTTAAATACCGCACAGATCCTTTGAGACGGGAATAGAGAGACGGCGCGAACAAAAACTATTTTCTCCGAGACACTAATCACGGACCTCCTCATCCACGCTATTTCGATCGGCGTGATCAGGAGTTGCTTCCTCGTCAGACTCGTCCAGCAATGGCGCTGTCTCCGATAGCTCACTGCCGGTCCCGCTGTCCGCTTCTCCTGAAAATATCATTAGTCAGCTTTTGAATAATTATTATCATTTCAAGACCCCCGAGGACTTTGTGAATCGTTGTTCGAGACTGGATACTTATGACTTTGTACTCATATTTCTGAAAGTCTTAGATAGAAACCTGAAGTACATTGATAAGTGCTCAGGGTCACGATCAGACTACAAGCTTTTCTTGAAGCATAAATGTCTAGAAATAATCTTACCGTGCTGGTCTCGTATCTCCCCTCCACAATCCTTAGGCACGAAGGGCAGACACTTCCTGTGCGCATTGTAATGACAATCTCGACACTGAAGACCTTGCTTGAACAGTCCTCGAAGTAGTTTCTTGCAATGGCGACAAACCGTAGGCCGGGTGTACGTGTGGACTTCGAAGGTATGAGGAATGCCGAGGGAGCTGCCTTGGCCCAGAGGCCAGACCACACGAGAAGGGGATTTGCTTCTTTTGTTTACCACCTGTCCGAGTAATGATATTGTATTAAGCTACAGAACCTACTCGATAATTGGCCAGATACTGGCCGAAGCACAAAAGCGTCGCAATTTGAGTGACTCCACGCGCACTGAATCGTGAGGTCAAAGTCTTAGGTGTATTATATGACAGCCGCTCAAGTGTTGGAGTCAGCATTTATACGTTCGGGTCTATATTATATCTGGTGTTTTCTGGGCCGTCTTCATTTTTTTTGGAACGGTTCTCGCAAATTTTTATTTTTTTTGAGCCGCGGTCGAACCTCGGGGGGTATGTGGGACTGGTGCGCAATTGCGAAACCGCGGGCTCAAGATTGTTTTCAGAACCCTACCCACTAAACGACTCCTCTGCACTCTTCGCCCAAGCGGTCGATCCCCTCCGAGGTCAGAACCCGGATAAGGTATGGGGGCTACCGCGGTCAATACTACAACCAGACGGCGCAGCTCACCCCAAGGACGCCCGGAGCCCTCGAGGCGAATTGAAAGTTCTGAAACGTCAGCCGTCTCGGTACGACAGCCTGTCGGGCCGCCTAGACGGTGCCACTGGTGTCTCGAAATACCCCGCTGAACCAGAACCAGCCTACCAGGTTGCTCTTTTTATCTAGAAGATATTACTCCATGGCAGCGTACTGGTAGCGTGCCGCGCGGCCTCAACCCCCTCAAGTCGCCGTTTAAATTTCACCGGGGGTTCTCGATCCTCCTAATCTCAGTATATATTTTTTTCCCTGAATAAGCCTTTAGAGACTATGCCAGCGTAACCGAGCGAGTAGTTGAGCTTACGTTGCTAACACTAGTCCTAGCAAGAGCCGTGCTTCGCAGAATCTACAACCGGATCGGAAACGCGGCCCACTGACAAGATCCGACGAGGAACCCCGTGGGCTGTGTCTGTGGGCCTCAGTAGAGATAGCCAAAGATTATGTTTAACAACCTACGAGCTTGGCTTTTGCGAGTATAGTTTTGTTGTCAATGCAGTAAAGGCTTCCATTGACCCCGGAGACCCACGGGCTAGGGACCAACGCGGTCCGGTGCCCAGAGCCTTCCAAATTCAGTCGTAAAATTTTAAAAAAGCATTTGTTTATTTCATTAAATTGAGCTGTTAAAAACCCACGTGTCATGTGCAGATTACTGAACCGACTGATTTTTGTTACATGTGTCTAGTATACTGTTGTTCCCATTTTGTATATTCCCATTTTGTAATGTCGGTGCCCGACTCGGTGTGAGGACGAAATGCTCGCTTAGGAATAACCTACCCTTCCTAACTGCTGCGCATGTTGGCTTGGCGGTAGCGATGGGCATTTCTCTACCGTATTCGGTTTATTTAATGAGGAGGATGAGAAAGGCCCTTAATTCCAAAACTGCAATGAAATCGCGCACTCAATGTGATCATGAACTACGTTCACGTAAAATAAAAATATAACTTTGGCTCGGCGGCCTTTCCAGTTTCATCAGGACAGGTGGGCGAGCAAAGACTCAGCTAGGAGGGGTGGGATTTGCTAACAGCTGCCCGAGCGCCTCCGAAATAGAACTAACAACTCAAGGACATCTGCTTTGCGAATGCGTCTACTACCGGGCCGGAATCGCGACCCGCTGAGAAGATCCGGCGAGAAACTCGGCAGGCTTATGGGTTAGGTTGCACGTCGAATTCTTCTTCGAGTTCGACGAGTACGGTTACCAGAGTCCCTAAGCCTGCTCCTAGTGTTAGAGCTGAGGGCGTCTAATGCAAGACTTATTGTATTTGATGGATCCGTAAGGACGTGTAAATTACAACTGCACACTAGATTTATTGTATCGTTATAAATCTATTGTAAATAGGCAGAAATTGAACAGCTATATACAATTTCCTACTTGGTTTGTCAACCGACTATCTTTTTCTTTTTTTTGTTGATTTGATGTTTGTATTCGTTAACGGGCTCTTGTGAAAAAACTTTGGCTTTTTTTTTCCAATTACAGCTCCTTGTTTCATATGTAAATATGTTCAGTACCCACGACACAGTACAAAACTGCTTCGGCTGCGGTACGATTGGGGCTACTGACTGTTCCTAGGACCCTTAAAATGAGGTGGCTGAAGTCCACAAATGGTTACTATCGGCGGATATTAGCAGTGGTCCGACAAGGTCAGTTACAATGACATGGGATATTTGAAACAATTATAGTAATATTTTGGATATTCGATGATGGGTACCATGGATTTTCTAAATAAAACTCAAAAGAATGTAAGGTAAGATTTATTCATTTATAAAAGTATATCTGTCATTAAATTAAAATAATGTATCTAAAAACCTATGTTACCCAACACCCGTATTTAAAAATACTTATTAAATTTTTAAATAAACTTAGGGCGGTCACATACGTACACTGTATTTTAATTTAGGAAAACTTTTCATTTATTGTATTTTTAGTTTTTCAATAAACAGGCGAATAATTGATATAATTTAACATACTTTTTTACAATGTAAAGTACTCGGAGAGTAGAGTTACGCCCTACCACATCTTGAATGGTCACTGTCGCTAATGGAAGTCACTTGCTGCCTATGAGAACATTTTTCAGACCCATTTGAGAAGTTACAGGTTGAAGCACTGCGGGAACACTGAATAGTTCATTGGCCTCTTTTACCTGAGACGAAGGGATCATCTTAAATATTAATCCTGGAGGACTTCCCTTGGAACCAGCGGGACGACACAAACTGAGGTGAACTTTCTCTGTAGATCCAAAGATTCAACCCGTTGTTTAATCAATTGGCTTGATTCTGTGTACGATTGTTTCGAAATTTTCTGCCATAGTACTATTACAGTACGACAGATGGCGCTCGACTGGTTTTAATAAACTTTTTATTACATAGAGCGACAGTCGCAGTGTTTTATTAGTGTGTAGTATTATTAGTAGGATTCACTAGTGTCATTAGGCAAGTATTGAAAATTTAAGTATATTTATATTTTTATACCGAATCAGATCATAATTTGAGATTAGTTTATTATACATAAATCAATACTCAATACTGTGCATAATTTGCTCAGGTAGGGCCAAGCGTGTTCGTGTTAAAATATAACAAACCTTTACCTAAATTGTCTTCACTCGTAATCATTAAAATAAAAGTTATAGAAAACATGCGTTTTTTTAGATCGAAAACGTATGTATATGACCGCCCTAATTACAATAACAATAGTGCTAAGATTCTAAGAGATTAAACATATTTGAGTTTATTATAATATATGTGAGACTCAGTTATCACTTACTCAGTTATTAATTCTAAAACTAGATCATTGATTAAATCATTGAATTAATTCTAAATAATTGAAACTCGTTTTAAATAACAGAATACAAATCGAAAATACATTTTTAGTATATATACTTTTAGGCTGCGGGCTGATAGAAAATAGAATAAAATACTTTTAGTTGCATTGGAATAACAATGGCAATTATGTTATTTATGTGTCAGCTAGACATTAGCCAGACATTAGCCAGTCATTACCAACGATTTGACAGTATGTCGATGTACCGCGGTCAGTTTTGCAAACTCTCATGTCCTATTCCTGATCAATTCTCAATAGCTACCAAAGCAATAAAGCTAAGTTTCTAATCTGTCGCTAGATTGGCTTGTTTGAGAAACATAAAATCAGTGTTAATATTTTAACTATACTGAGTGTAACTATACTGAGATCTTAGAACTTATATCTCAAGGTGGGTGGCGCATTTACGTTGTAGATGTGTATGGGCTACAGTAACCACTTAAAAGCAGGTGGGCTGTGAGTCCACCCATCTAAGCAATAAATAATAATATATAATTTATATTCAGTTAAACATAACTACTGAACCATGCATCCGATTGACTTGAAACTTAGTACCTATCCATGTAGAAAATACATGTACTTAATGGATAGACTAATATTTATATGAGCGTTAGACTCCCTAAACCAGTTGCGTTGCCGTTAATGATGAGATTCTTTGTGGGGGTGAGAAATTGTAATGTTAATTTTAAATGCCCAGCGAAGCCGACGGGTACAGCTAGTACTATATAAAACCATTGACATGGATTTGAAAAGATTCCAACAAGGCTGTTTTGCTGTCTCTCGCGCGTAGTTATTGTGCGTTAGTTTGTTGCTTCCCTGGGATTCCAGGGTCGCTAGTTCGGGTTGCGCGTTTCAGGGCTATGAACATTTTGTACGTCATGGTGTAGGTAGATAGTGGACTCGGCAACAGAGACAAACATTGCAGATTCATTATCTCGCGTTCAATTTAATTAAAAAATCGTATTAAATGCTCTTTAATTATTTATCTTTAATTATCACGGTGCTCTAGGTATATGAACGTTATTACACAATCATCACAATTATTTATTGCAACTATAAAATTTTAAACTGCCAAACAATTTAATATCCACGTTCGTTTTGATTCTTTGTAAATATGTAATGTCACGAGCATAATATATTTTCTTAGTCTCGTTTTGACTCGCTCCTGACGATGTACAAAGACAAAAGTTTATGATTGACAAGTTTTTAGGGAGACGGATTTGTAGGTTCCCAACATCCTACCCCTAGTAGGCATCCTACCGCAGTTTGCCCGCAATTCCGACAAGATTGGGGGAGCTTAGCATCTCACACAACGAAGATCGGACACAAATATAAAAAAAATATGCTTAGATGGGTGGACGAGCTCACGGCCCACCTGGTGTTTAGTGCTTACCGGATCCCATAGACATCTACAACGTAAATGCCGCAACCCACCTTGAGATATGAGGTCTCAGTATAGTTACAACGGCTTCAAACCGAAATGCATTACTGCTTCACGGCTGAAATAGGCGGGGTGGTAGTACCTACCCGTGCGGACTCACAACACGTCCTACCACCAGTAACAACTCAACACAAGTTTAAAGCAATTCGTGATGTAAAACAAGTGATCAAAACGCAAGTTAGCAAAGTCAAGTAACAAAGCTAAGTAGCGTTAATTCCCTCGCAGTGTGTAGACTGATTTAATACCAAAAGGTATTGAGTCCCTGTTAAGTCTCACCCTGTGACTAATTTCGACAATTCCGTGTAATAATTTGTTGAATAACAAATAAACGATTGCCGGGTCTAGACTCCAACCGAAGTCGTGGTGGTCTAGAGGGTACGGCGCCCGGTGCAGGCGTACCGAGCGACGCGACTGGGCCGGTTTTCGAAGCCCGCAAGCGGGTACCAATTTTTCTAACAAAATACATACTCAATAAACGTTCACGATTGACGATCCACGCTGGAATAATATCGCGTCATAAAAATCAAACTCGTAAAAATTATAAAAACCATGTCTATTATTGCCGTGAAGCAGTTACGCATTTCGGTTAGAAGGGTGGAACTGTCCCTACGCTACACAGTTGAGACTTGTCCATGGGCACCGGTAACCCCTTATCACGAGATCTACCTTGAGCACCGTGTGACCTGTGCAATAAAAAAGAAAAATAATTCTAATTTATTGACATGAATTTTAATGAACGTATCTGGCAAAAGGAAGGGAGGCCGTCCCAGAACAACTTGGCGTCGCTCAGTAGAGCAGGAACTGGGCGGCTTGGGCACGACGTGGGAGAAGGTAAAAGATTACCCAAGGTCGATGCAAATGGAGGAATTTCGAGCCCTTAATAGGAAAGAAAGAAGGCGAAGAAGAACATGTTTTCAGTATCAACCACCATCTATACCGGAGAGAATGATGTAAAGCCGGCATACTGTTGACTCGACCCTATAATGTACGCCACATAGACTAACAACTACTACATAAAATCACTACTGTTTTTGTCATATCAACATATTAAAATATATATCATAATACTTTTATGACTTATAAATTAATTAGTCATTAAATTCTAAGCTCACAAAGAAGTCATTTAATGATTTTTTTGCGACATTGGATGTTATAGTTCATACGACCACATACACGAGATTTTAAATGACATACCTAATTAAAGTTTTAACAAAATCTCATTCCTTTACTGAAGAGGGCAACGCCTGTCGCTCACAGCAACTACTAATTATGACATAAATATTGTAATACGAATCACTGGACAGAGGAGAGATAATTTTTGATTCCATTAAGACATTATGGTACTGAAGACTAGTATTTATCAAAGAGTTCAGATTTTAAATGTAATGAAAATAAATGGTTCTAGTTTTTCTGCAAGTTGACATTAGCGGCCCGAAGATATCGGCTCCAATCAATTGTTCCCGGTGACGAGATCAGCGAGGCGCCTTACCAGCGAGTCGTCGTGCGAGGCGTGGCTGTGCTGGGAGGAGCGCGACGGGCTGCGGGGGGCGGCGGCGGAGGAGCGCCGCGTGCTGCCCGCGCCCCCCGCACCGCCCGCCGCCCCGCCCGCACACGCCGACGCGCAGTTCGACGGAACCTTCACCGCGCAGCGCTTGTGGTAGTTCAGCCCGCAACCTGGAACGTTTCAGATCACTATTTGACCACAGCCTGCCACACTAACAACCCATGTTGTGATTTAAGGGCCTGTGCACACAACGTTTTTTAAACGCGCATCGACGGCGCGCTTTTATCCCACTGAATGGTTTCTTGTCGTTTGTATCTATACAAAAGCGATGCTAACGCGCATGTGTATCGATACAAACGCGCGTTAGCATCGCGTCTGTATCGATTCAAACGCCTATTCGAATTTATACAGGTGTGCGAAGGTCCTGCTGCGTCTGACTTGCGTGCGTATCGCGTTTGTATCGCTACGAACGTGCGTCGACGGCGCGTTTAAAAAACGTGGTGTGCACAGGCCCTGAAACTCTACGAAATAAATGACACCCGAAATGCGACACTAAAAAGAGACAAACATATACAACTATAGAACTTACTCTGCGAGTGAACGAGACGGAAATACTTTTCACACATTTCACCTTTACCGCATGTGAGCTGCCTACGTGTTTATTTTTTGTATTATATGGATAAACGACCTAACAGCCTGCCTGATGTTAAGTGATTGCCGGAAACCATAGATATTGCTACGTGAATGACGCCACTCATCTTGAGACATGAGGTTGAACTATTCGCGTTGACAAACTGGAGACCGCGTGTTCCATTATTACTTTGCTATTGACATTGCGTCGTCCACCGATGTGACAAGTAAAACGATTATAAGTGGCCTTGTGTGTTCGTTCGCGCTCCCTCAGTCCGCGCGTCGTATGTTGTCTGCACGTCAGGAAAATACTGTCCACGTACGACAGATGGCACTGTAGTCGCTTCAAAAAACTGACGTGTTTCTTTATGATCACCACAACATGACCTACGTTCAATGGTGTCAAATAAAAACTAACTTCTATTCCTTTTGAGTTAGTACTAACTAGCTATCAGTTTGAATGTGTTTGGCAGGCCATAAGCAATTCTTTCTTGTCGACTAAGTGTCATTTGAGCCGGCGCACGGGACGGGCATATGTGTACAACGCACCTTCACACTTGAGTCCTTGTCGCACGAGACCGAAGAGCATCTCCCCGCAGAAGTCGCAGAAGGTCGGCGCCTTGTACGAGTGCACGGCGAGCGTGTGGGGCCGCATCAGTGGCAGACTCTCCGTGCCGACGTCGCATATTAGCGCTGACAAAATACACATCAATATATCGAGTTTCTAATTTACAACAGTTACTTTTATTTAGAGAACAAGATAATCCCCGTGCTAGTACTAAGATTTTCTCATCATCCATTCATAGCAAGCATAGAGTCTCCTGTGCTGCTGGTGTACCAGACGTCCATCCGTGACTTTAGCCACTCACATGCCTGTTTACCTTCAAAAGTCCAAAACAATATTCAAGACCAGATACTGCTGTTGTTAGGAAATTCCCAACTAAATGATTTCCAATTTGTTTATTGCATTTAAATCCGTGGGTTTTTCCGTTTTGTTTTTGTAAAACACTTTTTTAATAGTGATTACTGTCATATCTAGGTAATTAAAATCGTTATCAAGAGTCTCTGAATACCTCTCGCTGATGTAAGACCTCACAGTTAAGTTTTAAGACGTTACAATTAGTTCTACTCACGGTTAGCTGTGAGCACGATCTCCACGAGGGTCTCGTCCACGACGTCTGTCCCGGAGTTGAGGAGTTGGAGAACGTTGGGCGAACAGTAGTCGTGTCTGAACAACAGGATCCGATCCGCTAGACGATTCAGACCATTGTCCGGGATCTGAATTAGATAGAATGGGTCTCAATGATTGACGATAGCTAGGTAGGTAGGTTTTAGGTGGCTAAATAAGGTGAGATTATTGGGAAGTAAAGGGACGATATCTCAATTTCCTGCTCATGTATTTTTTAACTGCTTAGATTGGTGGATGAGCTTACGGTCCCCTGGTGTTAATTGGTTACCGAAGCCCATAGACACCTACAACACAGCGGCTGCCCTACCCTTCGAACCGAAACGCATTACTGCTTCATAGCAGATATAGACAGGGTGGTGGTATCAAACCGTGCGAACCCACAACACGCCCGACCACCATTAGCTATATACACCTCTTACAGTTCTCTAGAAATAGGATTTATAAGAAAGAAGATTTATCCCGATCTATTGTTTATAACCACGGCAGAATCGTGTCCGAATGAATGGGCAACATAAATGGCATGAAGACAGAAGACCAGGCGTCGAGCTCAAGTGGCTAGGAGGCGGTGAATGAAATAGAATACCTTTTCGTGGACGAATTTGACTGCTAGCTCCTTGAGGTGTGCCAGCGTGAGGAGATGCGCTGGCGCCGAGACCGCGTCCCGGAGCACTCCCAGCTGGAACATGAACGTCACCTCGTCCTCCATCGCGTCTCCAGCCGCCTGAAATAATTATCATTAGCCGTGAGTACTTCAAGACCGGAATACAGTTCTAATTGCTTTCCTACATCTAGTTTGTACATCATGATGATCTTTGTTCTTACATCTGTTTGAGATGGTACCATCAGCTCGTTTTTACCATCGCACCGCCTGCCACCGGAGTAGAGTTCATCCATACAACCTGGAGCCACTACGTTCATCTACAGTGCGTTTCCAGAGATATTTTATGCCACGTACCACCCTGCTTTGGAATGAGCTCCCCTCCACGATGTTTCCCGAGCATTATGACAAGTCCTTCTTCAAACGAAGCTTGTGGAGAGTATTAAACGGTAGGCAGCGGCATGGCTCTGTCCCTGGCATTGCTGACGTCTATGAACGATGGTGACCACTCAGCGTCAGGTGGGCATATACAGCAATAATAATAATAAAACTTATCATGCAATAAATAAACATAAGAGATTTATTATTTATCCGTTTATATGTATGTTTTATATCGTAGAATACTTTATTGTGTACAAGGCGTACACGCACGCAGCGCTCTCGATAACGATGCTAGGTGATGCTTGTATTGGTGATGCATAAAACGATCACACTAAATAAATCATCTCACGGAATATGAACTTATTAAATCACCTTGTACTTCTGCTTAATTTCTTTCAAGTCCCAAGGTGGGACAGAGATCTCCTTACACCCTGTATGTGTTGGTACCGGCAGCACTAGGTATTAAGAAAGAGGGGCTTTTCCTTAAGCAAAGGGTACAACTACAAACGGAAATATTTGTGGGAACTATGTAATGAAAAACTGACTAATTAATGTATTCCACATACATATGTTTATACAAATGTTTCATTGCTAACCTTATCGATTTTAACGCCTATATGCTTTCGATGGATATCACTGAGGTGCCTTGTATGCTTTTACTTATTGATGAAGTGATTAAGGTTCATTTTGGAATTAAATATCGAAGACGTTTCCGGATTAAGAAAGGCTTTATTGAGTTGGAGAGAACGAATTTTGCTGGCGAGTACCGGAGTGTTTGGCCTTAGGCCTTAGTCTGGGATGAACAGACGCTTCATGCCGCTAGAGATCCAGTAAGCACCATTGAATAGGCACAAACATTTTGACATTCATTACACTGCAAACGAGTAACCGCTTTATTTATTACTAGTGACGAGCCCTCGCTTCGCTTCGGAAACTGTAATTTATTATTGATTTCTCCACTATTTAATGGATGTTATTAAACATATAAACCTTCCTCTTCAATCACTCTATCCATTAAAAAAACCGCATCAAAATCCGCTGCGTAGTTTTAAAGATTTAAGCATACATAGGGATAGAGAGATATAGGCACAGAGAAAGCGACTTTGTTTTATACTATGTAGTGAAACCGCAAATAGCGCGATTTTCATTTTGTGTAAGGTGGTTTAAATACGTCCAGGAGCTCCACTGCTCACCCCTGTCGTTCACAGATAAACATAAGACGAAATGTATTTTGGTTTATTTGCCACCGTACAAATCCTTATCGTCCGATTACGCGGACGACCACCCTTGGTCGGCAGAAACCGGTTTTTATCTGTTGCATTGGATTTTCCTTATACTACTATCTTTGCCAAAAAGTACCCGAAGCTGTTATCAGCCGAAAACATTTATTGAACGTTTGGGTAAAAGTAATCGAACAGGTTAAATAGCAATTGCGCAATTTCGTATGTCTAGGTCACCGAATGATATCGGTTTGTCTTTTATTAGCATTCATTTGAAAGACTTGATTTCGTTAACGGACTTATGATGACAATAACCGTAGTCACTGACGCTTAATATTCCTTATTATCTTTTGTTTTGATATCGACACTAATGTCAACAGTTAAACAAAAAAAGGTACTGAACTATTATGGGTTGTTTACTTTACGAGGGGTACCCTAACCGGGAAAAAACGTCCGTAACGTAAGATTTTTGTTATTTATGTATAGTCTTAGTATGATGGCTATACAGTGTCTAATGTATAGTCTACGTGATGACGGTTATTATTATTATTCATATAAATAGCTGTTTCTTTGTATATTATTATTATAATATATTTTTTATAAATTATTGTGCATAAAATAAAGTTGATAACTTTGTATAGTAGCTTTTTTTTATCAATAAAAAAATCATAATAGAAAATGTATACCCGAATAATTATTTTCTTTATACCTCGAACAGAACTTAAAATGAATATTTTTATAATAAGGAATTTCGTTCCTATCCGGTGTCCCGCGACACCACACATCTTTTTTAATGTATAGGTAATTTAATTTAAGTTCCGAATACGGTTTTGAGAAGCATAAATTGTAATTTATTTAAATCATACAACAATCACAGATAAATCCAGGTTTCGAATCACAACGATACTAAAGAAGTTTTCACTTCAAAAAAAAACAAAAAACTATTAATATTAGTAACTCTTTCCAGCAGGTACAACACTCGGTTAGCCGTCGATAACATTAATAACATTACAATATTATTTATTAACCTATCCATGAACCGTCGCATCGAGGCACGTGGAACCTGAACGATATCGGACGTGTTTACTTCGTCTCCGCAAATAGGGACGCGTGCAATATACTACGAAACATTTACAAAACAATTAAGCTCAGGGAACCTTGGCTAACCGTTTAAATGTATATTTGTGGTCCAAACTTCAAGACACCTTACTGGTGGTAGGACCTCTTGTGAGTCCGCGCGGGTAGGTACCACCACCCTGCTTATTTTTGCCGTGAAGCAGTGATGCGTTTCGTTTTGAAGGATGGGGCAGCCGTTGTAACTGTGCTTGAGACCTTAGAACTTATATCTCAGGGTGGGTGGCGCATTTGCGTCGTAGATGGCTGTGGGCTCCAGTAACCACTTAACACCAGGTGGGCTGTGAGCTAGTCCACCAATCTAAGCTATAAAAAAATAAAAAACACCCACTACAGCTACAAGTCGTTCTATAGGCAGCAATATCTGCAGTCACACATCACTTTACAAACACATTTTTTATATATCTTTGACGTAGACGACTGAACGAGCTGATGGACCAGTTGTTGTAAAGTGGGTATGGAAGTTGCGATCAACGAACAACGAACGAAGTCAACAAGGGCATAAGCCGCTCAATACCTTTACACCGGGCATCTTATTCTTTAGTCCACGATTTCTGTATTTTCCTAGATCCCTAGATTCCCTAGATATTTTTCTAGGTCATTTATATTTTGAAATTAGATATCGAATTGAAAAAAAGAGTCGACTTCGCCACGACCCTAAGTTTGGTCTTTGCATATAATAACAACTAGCTTTTGCCCGCGTCTTCATCCGCATGGAATAGTCACTTTGGCATAACTCTAAATTTTACTCGCGATTTCATTTACGTAGAAAGTGAAAATATTTTTGAATAATAGAATGTTAAGGAGCTATTTAAGGTACCAAAATCACGCTTTTTAACCGACTTCAAAAGAGGAGGCTATCAATTCGACCACCATTTTTTATTTATGTATGTTCACCGATTTCTCGAGAATGCTTGAATCGATTCTGAACATTCTCTTTTCTATTTTTTGTTCGAAAGGGTAAACTTCCCGAATTGTCCTGTAATCATCAAGATCTGATGATGGGATCGAGCGCCCTACCTTACTACTGATAAGCATTTACGCGTTTCGACTTTGAGAATAGCACACCCGCTATATAAACGTGGCCTCGGGTCCTGCGGCGGTCTTGACACGGCGCCTGTCCTTATCTCCCTCCACTCCTGCCACTTATGCCAATAGTTATTTTGAGACAGTGTTTATTGTAATGCATGTCCTTATGCGAATTGCGTCGCGGTACGTTATCAACACATAAATAAATTGATTATTGAAAATATTTACGACGCTATAATTAGCCGTGACCGATAGTGGAGATGGCCGGGCGCCATGGAGTCGTAGACGTCATTGAAGACGCGGTGCTCAAGATATTGAGAGAACATTGCTCTGATGTTAAGTGATTACCGGAGTACGTAGTCGTTTCGAAGTCGTCGTGGCCTAACGGATAAGACTTCCGGTGCATTCGTGTTGAGCGATGCACCGGTGTTCGAATCTCAGGCGGGTACCAATTTTTCTAATGAAATACGTACTCAACAAATGTTCACGATTGACTTCCACGATGAAGGAATAACATCGTGTGATAAAAATGAAACCCGCAAAATTATAATTTGCGTAATTACTGGTGGTAGGACCTCTTGTGAGTCCGCGCGGATAGGTACCACCACCCTGCCTATTTCTGCCGTGAAGCACTAATGCGTTTCGGTTTGAAGGGTGGGGCAGCCGTTGTAACTATACTGAGACCTTAGAACTTATATCTCAAGGTGGGTGGCGCATTTACGTTGTGGATGTCTATGGGCTCCAGTAGCTGCTTGGCACCGGGTGGGCTGTGAGCAAGTCCACCCATCTAGGCAATAAAAAAAAACGTAGACATAAGAATGCGAAGATTGTTAGACGTAGACGTAGAGTACATGACGGTTTTGCGACAGAAATACATAAAGTTCTGCCACCGATCCGCGCGGGTTTACAATATGCCCGATCGACGGAAAACCGTAAAAAAATTACAGGTTTGCTTTATTTGTTATTCCTTAAGACGATGAATATCTCATATATCATCGCATCGAGCATCGGGAGTATTATCCTAGTCCTTGCTGTCAGTAATGTACTGAAGTTGTCGATAATGCGACGGGACAGTGCGAGTGGCGGTGAATGATCTTGATCGTTACTAGTGTACGCGACATAGCATTAGAATATAAGAGGATCTTACTCCGGCCGTCTGTAAAGTTGTTAATGAGAAACACAGCAGAAAGCGTCCGCGGCTATGTGTGGTCGTCGTTTTTAATATGTTTTTATTAGCTTCAGACGTATGTGGTTAGTATATAACGGAATCTTTGAACATGATTTTGACCCCCTTCAAAACGTCGGATTAACTCGAAATTTGGTATACTTATTAAGGACAGATGATAATTCAATATTAAA